GAGTACTCTACCTTCTGAGTTTCTAGATTTTGTAAAAGAAGGGAGATATGTGTTTTATTGGTAAAGAGTAGTTTATAACAAGTGTTTAGACTTTTACGACAACTATCACTCGTGAAGAGGAAACCGGCTCTATTAGTAGGGTGGAGTGTCCACACCGTATAGGTTCTACGACTAATCTGTCGTACTAATAACGTGTCCACACGGAATCCGACCGGTGTTATTTTCCGGTGAGACTATTGCACGTAACCTACTCCCCTGTGTGCCTTGCGTTTATATTTTTGTTCAGTGTATGTATATTCTAAAGGTGTTTACAGACGGCTTCATTTTCATATATCATTAATAGACTAATTTGTAAAACAATTTATTAATTTTGTTTTTAATGGCGGTAATTTTTATTTATGGAGTGACACAAAGAAAATGAGCCTCTGCAAACACATTTCATTCTACTTTGGTCAAATTACACAATCATTTTGAAGCAGGCTACATCCCAAATGAGCACATTTTTTACAAGATAATGTAAATGTGGGAGGAAATGTGGCTCAATGGGGTAGTGCGCTGAACTTAGTGCGCTGAACTTTGAATCAGGGGATAGCAAGTTCGAGTCTCACTGCAGTCAGCATGTCGTTGTGTCCCTGGGCAAGACGCTTCACCCCAAATTGCTCCTGTGGGGATTGTACTAAATGTATGTTGCTTTGGATAAAAGCGTCTAACAAGTGACATGTAATGTAATAATGACTGATTTGCATTATTAAAACATTGCATTTCAGAAAAATGTGAATACATGATCTTCCTAATATAAGTAATACACTGGAGACATTTCACGTGATATATTTTAGATTCACCTGCCATGTCTCCCTTTAGCCAAGTGTCACTGACATTAGTTTAAAATGGTTGTCACTACGTACCATGGGCAGTGGTGATCCATCTTCAGGATGCATCTGAAACACAGCAGGGTCAGACGTCAGTGGAATTGAATCCCTCTCTCCTGTCAGAGTGCAGTACATGGTGTTCTGTATGGTGCATGAGGGAGCCATACTTATCACAGACTGAACAGTGGTGGCATCGATCAGGCTTCAGCAGCTGGCAGCGGTCACAGAAACGGATCGCTGAGGAGACACAGCCGGGCCAATCACAGCCATCAGCAGCAGCTCAAAACTGGACCACACTTTATATTTAACAACGTACACCAGTATTGGGAAGTAACTTTGTTCATTTACTCAATCAGGAATCAGAAACACGTTAAGAGGGAATGCATTTACACAAACAAGGAATGCGCTTTGGTGTATAACTGTTGCATACATGAACACAACTAGAGGAATTGGGTTGTGAAAAGGGGACAAATATAGTACTATAATAATAACGTATCAAGTATTGTACTTAAATACAATATTGACACACCTGTACTTTAATTCACTATGTCCATGTTATGCTACTTTATTTTTACTACACTTCTATTCAAAGGCAATTTTCCAAATAATTTGGAAGGGAATACAACAATTGAGAGAAACTCCCTCTGGAGGGAAATGTGTGATCATGGCCTCTGCAGACCGCACACAAACCTAAGCAACGCACTACAGGAAAGGGAAACCCCCCAAAACCATAATAGGGCCTCTTTAAGTATAGTTTGATGCTTAGACTTACTTAAGTTAAATGTTGAATGCAGGATTTATACTTGTACAGAGTATTCCTAAACTTTCCCATTACTACTTTTACTCATGTTATATATCTAAGCCCTTCTCCCTCAGCTGGTGTAAAGTTCTCCTGCTTTTGTGCCTCAGCAGCAGTGTGCTGTACCTCCAGAGTTGGTGCGGGTGCAGATGGGCAGATCCTTGGCTATCCTCCTCAGGATCTCCTGCTGAGACTCCCCCCGATCTTCACGCTCCAGCAGCTCCTTGTCAGAGTATGACAGGTGAAACTGTGCAGGGCAGAGGGAAAGAAGAACAGCACCTTTGATTTAGCAACAGCAACACTGATTTCTGCAATCAGTTCTCTTATTTCTAATGAATGGTATCGTCACATTTGTCAAAACAGTCAAATGATTTTTCAGATGAGATGTTAGCACGACGTCTGGACGATTAATTTAAATGTGTTTCAAATTGCAGTATGGATTAGAGCAATATCTAAATCACAGTAAGCACACTATTTGGTACAAGGTAAAAAAAGACCAGTATCCCAGAGAGCATATTTAACATGACATTTTTTTGATTGGAAAACACGTTTTTTATATATTCTGTGTCATGTGATCCAGTAACTCCAAATCAATGCTACATCACATTAATACCCTGGAAGAGTAGGGAACACCTCGTTATATATTACATATTTGTGTTTTTTTTAAATATATTTATATTTGTCTAACTCCTGCAGCCCTCGTCTGTAGCTCAGTATGGTGAAAGGTTTCTGCATCTTCCATTAGTTTTGCTTCTTTCTGCCCCAGCAAGCAAATGGGAGCAAATTAGCACAGAGCTTATATTACTTTCAGCCACTCAGGCAATTTATAGGCGATTGTAGCTGAAACAAAATAAGTCTGATGATAACGAACAGCGCGGCACACATGAAAAGTGACTTTATTCAAATCTGAAAACCTCATGTGAACCAGCGTTCGATGAAAGCTCTCGCCTCGAAAATGTAAATGCAAAGTGGCTTTTATCTTGGTGTGTGTGTGTGTGTGTGTGTGTGTGTGTGTGTGTGTGTGTGTGTGTGTGTGTGTGTGTGTGTGTGTGTGTGTGTGTGTGTGTGTGTGTGTGTGTGTGTGTGTGTAGTGTGTAGTGTGTGTGTAGTAGTAGTAGTAGTAGTAGTATTGTGTGTGTGTGTGTGTGTGTGTGTGTGTGTGTGTGTGTGTGTGTGTGTGTGTGTGTGTGTGTGTGTGTGTGTGTGTGTGTGTGTGTGTGTAAGTGCTGTGGTCAGGATCAGAGCCATTACAGAGCAGCTCCAGGCACTTCCTCTGGAAAGTGTTATTAGTCTGAATGCAGTGTTCAATCACAAGCGGAGGCTGTAACCTACATCCGCACTTCCCAGCATGCGTCAGTAACGCAGCGTCGCAGACACACGCGCTCACCTCCTTCAGGGGGTTCATGGGCCTGGTGAAGATAGTTTGCCAGTACGCCCACACAAACATGATGAAGATGACATGGTACACCAGCAGGTATATCACTGGAAGCAGAAAATCATAAACAAGTCGTCAGCAGCATCTATCTGTCAGCTTCACTGAATATTCATAGCAATGCTGCAATCCAATATGATTTATTTTGCAAAAACAAAATATTTCGACTCAGTATTCTGTCTTAATCTCTCACTGTCTTATTGGGTCATGTTCAGAAAGTGAAAGGAAAGAAAAAGAGCCAAATGCATAAAGTCAGCTCTAAAAATGTAACACTGAGCAGTTGGTGTGATTTTACAATATTCAGTAATGACATCAGTTTTGTGTTACGGCAGTTATAATCGACCATCACAGTGAACGATATAACATTTTGTTTATATGTTGCATTACAAGGCAATGCCAACAGTGCCTTATTTATATTCCAAAAATGATGACTAAGAGTCTGCAGCCCTGCTACTTCTGTGAAGGCAAAGTGGTGCTTTGAGGTGCTAACATTACAATGTTGACAAGGACAATGCTAACATAGTGAAGTTTAACATAAACAATGTTAACTATACTCACCATCTTATTTTAGTGTAATAGCATGCCAACATTAGCTCATTAGCACTGCAGACGAGTAGAGTAGTGGTGAGAATTTGATTCATTTGAATGTTTTTT